TGCATTTAGAGGCAGAGACTATAGGCTGATGAGCTTCAGGGTCAGAGAGATACTCAGGCTTTAGGAGTCACCCATCCGGCTACATGAGGCTTGCTATGGTCATACAGAGCCTCCTAGATGCCCTCACGACGGTCTGGTGCCTCCTACTGATTTGGTCCGACCCTGCTTCATAGAGCCTTTTGGCGAGGGGTCGAGTAGGACACCTAGGGATCTTACTCCTATAGACAGACTACTTGATGCTATAATGAGGAGGACCTTGCTACCGAGGATGGGATATCACGAGGGGTTGACTCGCATTCAGTTATGGCTACTGAACTCTCTGATTCAGCAGACAATGTTTGATGTATGGGATGTCATTCTTTCTTAGATGGAGGATACACTTGTAGAGGGATTCAGAGGTCACATGCAGTTGTTGTATGCTCACTAGATTACTTTTCTGATTCATAGGGCAGTCACAGTGAGACCTCCTGAGATGTTGGTAGAGTATTCTGGTGCTACTATAGAGTTTTCAGCTTATAACATGACACAAATGCTCTGCCACAGTGCAGTGAGGACACCCAGCCATCCAAGCCGCTGTCTAGAGGTGCTAGAGTCTGTAGCCCAGCTGGATGAGATCATCAGGGGCATTGCAGCAACAGAGGAGGAGCAGTTAGATGCTCAATAGGAGGGTAAGGTCGAGAGCGACCCCAGTGACAGTTCAGATGATGACTACCAGACTATCCCTCAGATGCCTCCTCGACAACATAATGGTGAGGCCAGTGGCTCCAGCTCAGCTCCACCACAGCCACCACAGACAGACCCCGCTCTACTTGCTATACTTGAGCGGATGAGGCAGGATCAGGCTCGCCAGGCCCAGGAGACAGCAGCAGCACTTTCACAGGTTCAGGCCAGGCAGGACGAGTTCTAGTGACAGCAGCAGGCTATCCAGCAGTAGCAGCAGCAGGCCATGCAGCAACAGTTACTTAGATTTATGCAGCATGTAGTTACTGCTATTGGGGCTCCACCGCCATAGCTTACACCCCAGATCAGCCAGCCTGCCGCCACTACCGTGACTCCAGTTTTATAGCCTAGTGGGCTTCAGAGTCAGGGACAGCCAGCGACACAGTTTCCTTCACCGACAGAGCAGGTGTCCCAGTGGTTTGCCTCACCTTTGATAGCCCAGGGTCTTTCCTTCACACCTCTACATACGGGCTTCACACTGGCTCAGAGTTCGTCGAGGCTTGTGATAGACACCCTAGTTTCCAGGAGCCTTGGCGCTACATTCAGTGAGTTGATAGGGCAGCCTACACCGCCAGAGCTACATGTCCCTGGTCCTTCCACAGTTGCTCTTATTACTGGTACTACAGAGACGCTCCCTTCATCTGTTGCATCATCAGAGCCGCCTGCTTTAGTGATACCTGCAAAGTCACAGGCCGCACCATTCCTAGATCCGACCTAGACCGCTTCAGCTTCAGTTCCAGCGACAGAGGGTCATACAGCTCAGAGCTCAGGATCAGAGGATGATGGCACATAGTTCTAGATCGCTTACCGCACCTCAGCGCCCGACTCGTCTGCTCCTACCCCGCCGATGAACCCTTAGGTTTTGGTGTTTGACGACAAAGGGGGAGAGGGATCGAGTATGATAGACATAGGGGGAGCGATATATCTAGGGAGAGCTTATTTATTACATTTGGCTTTTTATGTGTGATACATTTTTATGCATTCATGTTTAATTTCATGCATCGAACTATATACGTATAAGTGTGATATTTATGTGATATGTGACATGTGTGCTCTCTACTTTGATTTACTTATATGCCATGTCACTTGGTTATGCTCATTTGGTTTGCTTCCGCGTTTTTACTCCGATACAAATGAACTTTATTACTTGTACTCATGCTTATTTCATATCTATTGAGTACATCATGTTGGCTTGGGTCATATAAGCTAGGAACCTTTTAGAGAGGATGATGTGGTGATTCTTTGGCTAAGAGGGACTATGCAAGGTCATCGAGGAGGTTCTCGAAAAAAGTTTTATTTGGAACAGCTTTGGGTCATGACAAAATTGATATGAAAGCATACTCGCATTGCATATGTTGTAAAGATAAATCTCAGATCCATGAAGAAAAATGTCACACTCTTAGATCAAGATATGCATGTGTGTGGAAAAAGATGATAGACTTATTCTATACTCCTTAACATGAATCATCTCTCTCTAACTTTTATTTCGAGAACATGGCTATATTTTCTCATTTTCTTTCTTTCTTTCTTCTTCTTCTTCTCCTCCATCTCCTTCTTCTCCTCCTCCTTCTTCTCCTTCTTCTTCTTCCTCTCCTTGTCCTCCTCCTCCTCCTCCTCCTTCTCCTTCTCCTCCTCTTTCTTCTCCTTCTCCTCCTCCTCTTCCTCCTCCTCCTTCTCTTTCTTCTCCTTCTCCTCCTCCTCCTTCTTTCATACATGATCTTCATGTGCCCGTCATCATTTTTCCAATACTTTTGCATACGCATGTACCTTCTGCAAGAATATTAGAGAGAGATCACATTTGGAACATGGAGTACTTATTTGGTAGAAATAAGAGGCATGTTTTTGTATACTTCCAGTATAGAAGCAGCATATATATATGTGGCATGTACGTGATCTTGATCCTAGGAGCATGATAAACTTCTCAATATGACTTGACAAAACTCAATACAAAAGCAAGTAGCTTATGTAAAAAGTTTTCAACATGAATAACTAGATATGGCTCTGGTAGGAATTTTCTCACCATTGTGGAGTATGTGGAGCTATTGATTTTGACATTTTATCAAAAATAAAATTCTCCAAGACTTTGAGTAGAAAAGGTTGGATTTCCATGTCAATGCCAATTCTCACTTCACAACAACTTAGTCAATATACTTTTCCTATATGATATTTTTTCCGAAAGCACCAAGTATATCTAAGTAATAAAGATTATGCATCTGTCAGTATGGTTGGATAGGGGACGCATTGGCGGGCATTGTCGTCAAGTGTGTGCTAACTGCTAAGACGCGTCACCCGCTCACGGTGATATGGAACAGCTGACTGGCATACCCGCGAAGTTGTTGGCCAGTTGCTCCATGTCACCATGAGCGAGTGAGGCGTCTTAGGACAGATTTTACAGTAGTACCAATCCCAGTGCGTCCCCCGGTCAAACTTTACTGGCAGATGGCATCATGATATTTCTTTCAACTGTGATTCTAGTATTTTAATAGATTAGATATCTAGATGAGTAATTTTATAGTTTGGGACTAACATGAGAATTCTAGGGACGTCCCTAGAATTAATTATGAGTGACGGATCCACATGTCAGTTCCATACTGAAGTGCCACGTCAGCTAAAGGACTATCACGTGGCTGTTTTGGACTAGGATGAGATACTTAAATAGTTTAGGAACCTAGATATGCAATTTCATAGTTTGGGGACTTGAATGAGAATAACGTAATAGTTTAAGGACCGTCAGTGTAATTTACTCTTTACTATTTAACGTCTATATTCTTCTTATTATTAATTTGGACACCTTTTAAAGTTATAGTTTCACATTGATTTTTGACTTTGATTTCACGACACAATTGAATATAATAATGAGGATTTTTGTTTGGCCATATAAATTGAAGATTGCCTCTCACACGGAAAAACCAGCCAAGCTATAAATATGTAGAGGACTAGAGGGTGACGACCGATCGACAATATACATTTGACATACCAATCTACTATATTATATTTCACAATGTGTTTTTTTATCTTGAAATCCTATTATGTTGCTTCAACAACAACGTAACTCCAGAGTGGTTAGGCCGGCTAGGGTAGCCCATAGGCCTTGTTAGTAGTCTCAAGAGACCTTGCTAACGTGTCGTTTGTATGACACGCTATCGGCAAGACTCGTCCGGTAATGTGTTATGTGTATCGCGCTCGACAGCGAAGGTACAAGAAGACATTTTGGTGTTGAACAAGGATCTGGTGATGTTGTGTAGAAAAGCAGTCTTAAGAGTAGGTTGGGTTTGTAATTTGTAATAGATTCTCGTGATGGAGTTTTATTAACTACTCTTGGATTTTTTTTCATCCAATGTTTTTTTTTTTGCGAAACTTTCATCCAATGTTTTGATGTCACGTGCATTTTGCTTTTGGCTCATGGAGGGAAATGCACAGCCTAAAATTTAAAGATGAAATCACCGTGTGTCAAAAAGTAAAGGTCGCCATGACTGCCGGTACGAAACCACCCAGGACCAAGCAAGCAAACATGAGGAAACAGCGTGAGCCAGCCAGCCACTACCGTTCACCCTGGCCGGCCCTGCCTGCTCATGTTCTGGAGCTTCTTCGTTCGACCGTTCCGAGACATGTGTGTAGAGCGCCGGGCAGAGCAGCGGTGTGGTGATGACCCGCGGCCACGCCCACGCCCACGCCCTTTCGGTTCGGGATTTCCTCTCCAACAAGACCTCACACTGCTCACTGCCGCAGAGGAGCAGAGATCTCTGCGTGCAGAGCGTGACCGAACATACCTACGCACGGTCTGGCACGCGCTGCGGTCAGCACCACTGCTGGCTGTACGCCTGCCCTGCGTAGTACGCACGCACGCCACAGTCCCACTGTCCCACATAATGGCCGCACCGGCAGCGCGCGCTCTGGGCTCTGCACCGCAGGACGCACAGGTGCCACACTGTTGACTTCCGCTCTTCCGACCACAGGGGACCGTGTCCGTCCGGGACTCCGGCGTCCCCGTTGCTGCCTTCTCTCCACAGTTCCATGGCATGGCACGCACGCTGCACGACTGAGCCCATCCTGCCGCAAGCCTGCAACCACCTAACCCCATCTCCGGCCGGCATGCGGCATGGACGGACACCAAACCAACGTCCCACTCCACACCACTCTTGACTAGTAGTAGCTCTCCCAAGCCTTGCTCTATAAATAAATATATAAATATGCACGCCTCGCCCTTCACCTTCCCCTGACTGACTTCACACTCACAGTTGACACACTCCTCGACCCACGACTTGGAGCAGCCGGCAGCCATGAAGGTATAGCTCACTCCTCAGTCGGACGACCAGCCATCAGTGCCTTCCCCATCGATCGTCTTGGTCGTCTTGGTCGTCTTGATTTGTGTTTTGTGAGTAGGCGCGGACGAAGGCGCGGGCGAGGCGGCAGCGCATCCCGGCGTTTGGGGAGTGGAACTACGCCTACGTCGGGGCCGGCGACTGGCCTGTCACCCAGTACTTCGACTCCGCCATGCAGGCCGGACGACTCGTCGTGGCGATACCGCCCTCCTCGCCGCCCAAGCCTGCCAACAAGGTGATCGATGATGTAGTTGCTGCAACTATCCATAGACTACATACATTTCTTTTTTGTTCATCAAAACACTTGTGTTGAGCCGTTATGACAGATAGTGAAAAAGCTTAATGTTATTATTACTTGTACTGAAGTTCGGATGCAATGTCGTTGTTGGGTTGCTCGTATATGCTAGGTAGTGAAGTGGAGGGAAGAAAGCGCCACACTTGAGCTGGAGGACGAGGACGAGGACGAGGACGAGAAGCAGCGGCAACATGTGGTGGTGGGGCTGGGCGACCACGGTGGCGCGGTGAAGAAGCAGGGGAAGCAGGGGAGCCTGGTGGTGGCCCACGACCGCGTCCACGCCTCCTCGGCCTACAAGGCATGCCGGGTAGGGGCGGCGGTGAAGGCCATGGACCAGGACCTCTACCACATCCCGCCGGACATGCTCTGCCATGAGCCCAGGGTTAGTACTAGTAGACCCTCTCATTTTCACTCATCATACACTACATTCAGCTGGCTACTGCACAAATTCATCATGGACAAGTTAAAACATACGTAATAGATTTTGGCCAAACACGCACGCTCCCTCCGTATTTTAGCCATGAAAAATCCGAACATAGTAGATTTTAACCATTGATTTATCATACTATATATTGTCAATCGCTAAAGAATCAATATCATTGCAAAAGCACTTTGAATACAAGTCCATTGGTACAAGCTTCAAATCCTAAACTTGTATACTCTTTGAATAATTTGTCGGTCAAAGTTTATATAAGTTACCTTTTTTCTAGTAAAAGACTTCCTTCATTTAAAAAAGAATGCAATTTGAGCATAGTACGAGGTTAAAGTTTGTTGAATTATACTGTGTATAAAAGTATTAATATTTATGAGATTAAATAAATATCATTAGATTTGTTATATGATATACTATTTTCATAATATATATATTTCTACCTATAACATATTAGGTTAAAATGTAGATATGTTAATACAGATTGCATTTTTAATTGTATTTGTTTTAGGATGGAGGTAGCAATATTAACATTCTGAGATGGAGCAAGTATGATTAACATTTTGAGTAGTCCTAGTTATGTAGTCCTTGCCACATCACTGGTTCAGTGTGAAGCCAGTGTTCTTTTCTTTTTTTCCTCTGAGTCAGAGCAATGGAATCTAGTACTACTGTCAATAGTAATAAGAAGTTGCTGTTCCTTTTTCTAATCTTGTGCAGAAACGGCTGACGAGGAGGAGCCTCTGGACAGGCTGCCTGGGTCTCGACTGCGTCGCCTAGGGATCCACCATGCCAGCCACCTGCTGCGTGCCCGCTGAGGATGACTGCTCATCATGCGTCGCCTCTCGCCTGCCTTGTTTTGCGTGTGCCTCTCCCCCGTCCCGTCGTCCACCGTCCTGTAAAGACACTCCGTAGCAGAAAACCATGTCCATCATGGTGTCACTCAGTCTCAGTGTTTTGGTCTCAGTGTTTTGGTCCTTGTTGCACGCGTGGTGTGTAGCTAGACAGGCAGTGGACGGACGGATGCGACTTTGATGTGGCCGTGCCTGCCGCACTGCCTGACGCCCCGTTCCGGCCGGCAACGTCATTTCCCCGTGCCGGAGACCACTCGAGCGCTGCTTTTCCGATTTCCATGTCGTGCGTGCCGTTGCCTCTCTTGCCCCGACTTCCGTGCAGGAAGAGGGAGGTACTGTACGGCCCCGGTGAACCCGGAAGAAAAGGTTGTGCGTTTGTGGAGGGGAAAAAAGGTCGATGACATGACATCATGGCCTTGTATTAGGCCCCGTTTAGATCTAAAAATTTGGGTTTTGGCTACCGTAATACTTTTGTTTATATTTGGTAATTAGTGTCTAATTATGGATTAATTAGGTTTGAAAGTTTCGTCTCGTTCACGATTTCTCATCTAACTGTGCAATTAGTTTAATCTAATTATGGACTAATTAGGTTGATGACACGACATCATGGCCTTGTAGTATTACTTGACGCAACTCTAATTAAGGCCTTAAATTTAGGGGTAAAGTTTTGGGTGTCTTACGACGCGATCGAATATTAATAAAAAAAATAAATTATAGAATCCGTCGGTAATTTGCTATATGAATTTATTAAGTCTAATTAATTTGTCCTTAGCACATGTGTTATATAGTAGCACTACATGGTTAAATCATAAACTAATTAGGCTTAAAAGATTTGTCTCGTAAATTAATCGTAAATTGTATTGTTAATTATTTTTTAGTCTATACTTAATATTTTATGTATGTCTATATATTCAATGAGACATGGAGTAAATTTTAGGGGAGGAACTAAAAAAAGTCTAAATAGTTTTCTGGAAGAAAAAGAGCTCCCAAAAACCTTGTTCTATGGGTGTCGCTGTCGATGTGTTGCTTGTCTCCATGGGGACTTGTGTTATTAGTAGCTTGTGTTACCGTGATAAGATTCCCTCTGGGGATTTGGAGCTGACAATGATGGATGAATCACGTCTGCCCTCTCAATCATGCTAGCTAAGGTTAACATTGCAGTGCAACGGTGGTGCGCTAAAAACTGGAAGGAGCAGGACATGAGCGCGGCCGCAGGAGGTGCTTCGACGTGGGCGTCGTGGCGAGCGCGCTCTATGCCGTGGGCGACGACGTCACCGCGCAGTACAACTGCTCCAAGGCACAGCCAGCTGTAGAGAGTAACCGTATACGTGTACATCACTTCAACAAGGTACCGGCAGGAGGCGGATCCAGAATAAACAAATGTTTTTTTAGTTAATCCCTTTGTCCCACAAAGATGGACGTTATAGAGTTGGTCACGTAGATAAAGAAGGAGAATAAATACCTACATTACTCCTACACACCTGTTACCTTTCTGATTTGGCATGCACCACAGCACCACTCACCTCCTCCTGGCGACCCAAAGAGTAGCCCTCTCTGATTTGGCATGCACCACAGCACCACTCACCTCTCTGTTTTTCTCACCTCCTGGCGACCCAAAGAGTAGCTGAGCTGAGCAGGCATGGACGGACTGATGGGATGTCAGCTTAGGCTGGGATGGTTATAACGTCTTGCTTTACGAGACAAATTTTGAACGCTACAACATCATGTATCATGGAACGGAGGGAGTACTTAGAGATTCCCCGTATACGTGTACATCACTTCAACCATACTATACATGTACATCACTTCAGGAGGGATTCCCGTTTCCCGCCTAGTGATCATTACTTAGAGATAGGAAATAGGCCCCCGCGTCGCCTCCCACGCGGGGCGACTCGGGTGGCGACTCACCTAGCGCCGCCCCCACCTCTCCCATCCCTCTCCCGCCGCCCTGTCGCCGGCAGGGCCGCGCCACCTGCTGAGATGGCGGTGGCGGGGCTCCCTCTGGTGGTGGCAGCAAAAGGGGGTGGCGTGGGCACTCCGTCCTCTCCCCATCTCTCCCCTCTCTCCATGATAGAGCAATAGCGGCAGCGCATGGAGGAGCTAGATCCGGTGCCCGGATGGCCTGATCCGGCGTCGGCGGTGACATGACTGGGGAGGGCAGTGGCTAGGGAGGCGGCCACAGCTGGTGCACTGGGCGATGGCGGTTAGCCAGCCCGGCCTCGTGGCTGGATCCGGTGGCAGGCTGGCGCAAGAGGGCGACGTCAGGCGTCTTCTCCTGTGCTCGTCCTTCCTCCCGGCTATGGCGACGGCGGCGGCAGACCAGGCCGCCGGGTCTAGTGCCCGGGTGGGCAGATCCGGTGTTTAGACGGTCGGATCCGGCGCCCAGGCGGTTGGATCTAGCGCGTCGTTGAAGGGGACGGCGGTTGCGGCGGCACGTTGATGAGCTGACAGCGCGGTGGTACGGCGGGAGCGTGGCGGCACGGTGTGCAGCATCGACACGGAGTCACGGGGGCCGCGCCTGGCTTCGGCGGCCGCGGGATGCTCGGCGTGGCAGGTGCATGAGCTGGTGACGACAATGGCGTGCGGTTGGTCGCACGGGCAGACGACTTGTAGGGCGGCAGTCATGGGACAACGGCTGGTGCAATGGACAGACCATAGCCTTCGATGTGCACGGGATTGAGGCGCCATGGCAAAAGCTTTGTCCCTCTGGGCCGATGATGGCGACGTCTACGGACGTCATTTTCTTCCTTGGAAGCGTCTATCGAATGGTCCTCTCCCGCCGTGTCCTTCTTGGGTGAAAACCTTGACCTTCTAGTCAGGCGACGGTGGCGCTGGTGGCATCACATCCCTCCTAGGAGGCGTCGTGTTTTGGAAGCTCGTGCTCGGTCAGTTTGCGCTTGGCGGCCTGCGTCGTGGTGATGAAGGTGGAGGCCTAGTGGAGGATTCAAGTTTGCGGTGTCCATGGCAGAGGAAGGCAGTCAGGAGGAGGGTGTTGGCGCGGCGATGGAGGGCATCGCATCTGCTTGCCAATATAGGGCGATGGTTTTGTGGGACCGTTTCGCCATGAAGTTGGCGAGGAGGTTGGCGTGGGAGGCACCCACGGAGTTGGCGATGTGGCCGACGTGGGAGGTGGTGGCTAGTAGATTTGCGTTGCTGAGGTGACCTGTATGGTATGGCGGTGGGCGGTCCTGCACAGCGGCGGCTGTTTCTGGCGCAAGGAGGCGTTCTAACTAGCAGCTGGAGGACGTGTGTGGCACTTTTTACTTCGATGAGGCAGCTAGGTCCGGAAGCTACAGTGTGCGAGCTTGGATCTTGGTGGACGAGATCGGCTTGGTGAGCGCCAGAGGCTAGTTGTTCACGCGTTTGGTTTGGCAGCTTGCAGTAGGCTACGGTGGCTAGTCCAGCTTGGCGGTGGTTAGTCCGGTGTGGTACATCATCTTGAGAGGCGGTACAATCGGATCCGATTGCGGGAGGACTACATAGTTTGCAGCGACCTACGACGGCTAGTCCTGCTTGGTAGCAGGCTAGCCCGGTGTGGATCATTGTCGGTAACGACGGCGCGAGCGGTGACTACGGTGTTTTTGGCCTGACGTCCTTAATCGTCGGGTTTTGGCGGCGCAGTGTGGTGGTTGGAGTGGTTGGTGGTTTTGTTTTTTTTTCTTTTTTTCTGAGTTGAGCCTCGGCGTTGTGCAGTTCGTGTCGATGTCCCAATCCGACCAACTAGAGTTGTTTTTTTCTTTTTTTATTGAGTTTTGTTGTCGCTGTTGTATCGTTGTGCCCACTTTAGGATCATCTTCTTTTTAATAAAATCGGTAGCTCTCCTGCATGATTCGTTTCAAAAATCATTACTTAGAGATGATTACTTAGAGACTGGTCACTGTAGCATAAAAGAGAGAGCACAGAACCTAAGTCTGAGCCTTTAGTGAAATGGTGCTACGTACATGCTTGCCTGATGGTTATTGAGATGCTGCTGCTCTCTCCTGCCACTTCTACAGTTCTACTCGGCGACAAGAAAAAAAAACACATGGCGAGATGCAAACGGACTGATGACTTGCTGAGCTCTTTGGGCTGCTGCTGCGTTGCATACCTGAGAGTTGGAGCCGAGCAGCTGCTGATACCGCTGTACCTACAACACCGTCAGAGAAACAAAGAGTGTAGACAAGAAAACAAGCAGCTGAAGTGAAAATTCAGGTTGAAGGCACAGCTGCAGAAAGATGAAACTAAGCAGCAGTTTCTCAAGTTCTGAACTGAAGCCTGAATAGCAGGTGCATTTCAGATAGTGCACAGGACTCAGGAGCGATTGGAACAGCTGTACTCTATCAAATTGAGCCAACTCAAATCTGATGGACAAGTAATCTGAAGCCTGAACTCGCATCATCATGGAAAAGAAATCGCAACCAGATCCATCCAAACATACCAAAGATCTCTTACGAATTTCTGAATCCAAGAAACCTAAGAAAGTGGGAAACTTGGGGAAATCAAAATTTCGTGGTGCTCAAGTGAAAGATTTGTTAGGGGATCACCTTAGCCTTGATAACACTTGTCCTAGCACCAAAATTTCTCAAGTAATGTGCCCCAAAACGCAGCAAAACTGACAAACGAAAATTCTCTAAAAATAGCTCCGAAAAATCACAGGAAAAGAAAATTTTCAGATTTGGAGAGGAGATTGAGCGGAGAACGAAAATGATCTTTGGATTACTTACGAGGTCCGATTACAAGTCACTCCTTGCAAATCAAAGCTATGGATGAAAAAAAACTTAAAAACCAAGAGTCTCTCCTCCCTCTAACCCTAGCCTTCTCTCACGGACACACAAAACTGAGAAAGACCCTCCAAGAATGGTTGTCCAACCACCCGTTCACATATATATATAGGCACCCGTGAAATATCCAGAACGCCCTTGTATGAAGTACTTAGCCCAAATATCCCCAAGTGTTAATTCGTCCGAGTTTTTCTTCAACGATCCAATGGACCTGGCGTCTTCTCAACTTCGCTTCGCCTCTACTTGCTTCGAGATGCCACCACATGTTCAGCGATCTGCCACTCTCTGGTTTTGAGGCTCAAACCAGTCAAATCCGCCTCCGATGGTTTTGAGGCCCAAACTACCAAACCGTCCACGGCTGGTTTTGAGTCCCAAACCAGCAAACCGTCCATTCTAGGTTTTGAGGACCAAATCGGCAAACCCTCGTGCACTCCTCGCTAGACGTGACTAACCGATGTCGACGCATGTCCGACCTCCACCAAGCTTTTGAAGCCTTTGCCTTTCTTCTTGACTTGACTGACGCCATCTACATCACCCATGTAGTTGCGCTATCGTCCTCTCCATGACTTAGTCGACGTCGTCTTCATCACCCATGTACTCTTGCTCTTCATGTGCCTAATGGGGGTGACACTCGGTTCTTGAGCAAGCTCCTCCATTTCGGGTAGGATGCTCATAGATGAAGAAAAGAGACTTTAGGCACATGGTCCATTCTCTGTCCTCTAGTCCGTCGGTCCAAGCCATCTCGTCTGTTCTTCACCATCCCCGGTCCATCGTGCACGGACTCTGCCACTTGGCCTTTACCATTGTCGTCGACCGCCTTGGTGCACCCAACACCTGGACATTCATAAGCCAAGAGACATGTTTCACAACGCACTCAATATAACTCAACACGATATCTCCGGTTAGCCATTAGCATAATTCAGCACATATAAAAATATGACTCAACCAAAAATGCCTCAAACCTCCCACACTTGTGTCAATCATTCATCACACACAAATGGACACATCTCCACTATATTTTTTTTTGCGAGACCAGTTACAAACGCAAACGCTCACACACACGAGCGCACACTCACCCATATGAACGCATGCACGCACACCCTACCCCTATGAGCACCTCCAAAAAACTAAGTTGGACCGGCAAATATCGAGATTGACGAAGTCACCACAGGTGTCTCGCTGCCGACGAACACATTGCCTACCACCACTGAAAAAATAGCGTCGTTAAATCTTAGAACAAATTCAGAAAAATGCAAGCACCTGTGTTAAGTTGGGGTTTTAAATCCGGATGGTAGGTTCCACCACAAAGAACCCAACCAGCTGAGCTACGCTCAGTTCGCACATCCCCACTATGTTTTGTTCACCGGTTTCATACATAGTTAGCCAAGTGACAAGGAGAAATTTGAGGGCATTAAAAAAACCAATTCATTCAAAGGAACAAACAGCATATGAATTGAGCTGAACTTGTCCAAATCCTAAATGTAAAGAAAACATAAAACATATAATGGTTCTCAACGAGGCCGCGCTTGTGGCTCCCTCTATTGGGGCATCGAAGGCACCGGCGCCGCGGCGCTCCTTCTCGACGAGGCCACCGCGGGTTCTCGATGGTCACGCTGCCGGGGGCCACACTCGGATCGCACGGAAGATGCAGCTTCCGGGTCATCGGCGGCGGCCAGGAGGACGGCGTGCTGCGCATTGTCCGCGTGATTGACAACGAGCTCAAGGTCTTCGCTCGGATCCATGGCAGTGACGACAAGTGGATGGTGGAGCGTCTCGTGCGGCTGCCTGAGACCACCCGCGGGCTGCCTGCCCGTGAGGATGGCTATTTCCAGGGCGAGGCTGTTATTGTGGACGCGCACGACACGTACGTGCTCTTGACACCACGGGAGAAGGCGTGGCTCTTCTCCGTCGTGCTCGAGACTACGGAGGTCGACCGCAGGCATGAGAGGAACATGTACGCTGGGCCGGCGTACCGATGGGAGCTGCCACTGCCAGTGCACAAGCTATGGTCACCAATCTCCCAACTCTTCTCTTGCATTGAGAGCTAGCAGCCATGTCCGAAATAAAAACGACGGAGTTGCCGTGGTCTGTACCTCAGGTTGCTGCAAAAGGTTTTCATTTTCGGAAATTAAAATCTATCGGGGTCACAGATAAAGAGGTTAAATAGGGTATATCGGAAATATCGGATCAAATTCAAATAAAATTTAATTTGAATTTAAGTAAATTTAAATAAATTTAAACATAATTTGTACGAAAAATATAGATATTTTCTTATCGGCACCTACGGATAAAAATGATATATCGAAAATATCAGAAGATTTCGGCCCATAAAGGAAACCATGGCTGTAATTGCTTAAATAAATAAAATATTCAGAAAACCCAGTTTGGGCCATCAAGATATACTTTGAGTCTATGTCTATCGAAGGTGTCAAATTAAGGGTAGAATAGATAGATTGATTTTTCCTTGCTCAGAAAGTTTTTTTCACCGTCAGGTCAAGTGAAGTTTGGTCCTCCTTTTTATCGTGGTTTTGTTTGATTTAAGTAACAGTGTTTATTAGCCAATGTTATTTAATTTAATAAAAAATTTAAGGCTCGTGTTTAACTCTTGATGATGGAAGTTATGTGTTTTAATTGCGTATGAGAATTTTAGAGGAGTGACAGACATGTGCATGCCGGGTCATGCCGATTGCTGGCATGTGCGCGTAATGTGGTTTTGCACCATCTTTGATTGATGGTTGGTTTGATAGCCATTGATAACGATATAGTAACGGATAAATTAATTATGTCAGCACTAGTCACGGATACCATTATTATGTCCAGGTTTATTTCTGCTCATCTCTCATAGGGCTTATATAAGAGAGGCATCTCTCATATATTTGCACGCGAACACAACCTTTAGCACCCGGTTGTGTTGATGTGCTTTGCTTTGCCAGCTCGGTCCTGGAAATCCGTTTGAGTTTGTGTTCTGGAAGCTGGGAACATAAGTTTTAGGTAAGCGTATTCGTACGCGACCGCTTGCTTGGGATGCTCCAGTATATACGACGGACTACTTCGTGGTGCTTGATGCAAATCGACTACTTCCCGGTAGATGTTCATGGAACTGCAAAGCATATATCTTGCTGCACCAATTGTTGTTCACGAAGGTTCTTTTCTGCGATAGTTCAACAAAGTTTGGTCCTCCTTTTGTGATCGGTTTGTTTGATTATTAATGGGGTCTTATTAGCCAATTTAGATCGATTAATCCGTTCAAGATCAGCATTGTTGGAATGAAAAGCCTGAAAGACACAGAAAACAGCAGGCGAAACGATGGACCAGGAGAGTTTGTAAAACGAAGGCCCAAAACCATCGGGGCCTGGGCTGGACGATCGAATGACCCATCCAGGAAGTCAAGAGGACGTGTAGTAGTGGGGTCAATTGAATTTAAACTGAAACACCAAACGTGTTCGCCCGCCGCCCCCAGGAGACCCGTGAAGAAGGTGTGAAGCACATTTGCTTTCTGGTCATTGTTAGTAACTTCACGACCATCATGTTCAAGGATATGGATATTGTTCTTACGAAGGCATTGACTGGCACAGGCATGGAAGAATCTAGTATTTTCATCTCCTTCGATGGAAGCGCGGATTTTGCTTCGTTCCTTCTAGAATTGCAGTTTTTTGTTGACAGTCCTAGAAAGATTATCCTGACAACCACTAAGCGGAGAAGAGTTTCCATTTGAGTGTGGCGATGAGATTCCTCAATCCTGTCGAGTAGATCAATGACAAGCTTGCAGTCGGTCTCACGCTGGGAGCAAGAAACATGGCGTTTGCGCCACATCTTTGCAGCCGCCCTGGTACGTTTCAGGCGCCGAACGAAAGCAGCAGATGCCGAGGGGGATTGTTCATGTGCCAGGCATTAGAGACGGTTTCAAGGAAACGAGGTTGCAAGGTCCAAGAGTTTGTTGGCCCATTGGATCACTAGCTCAGGTGAGTGAACCACTCACTGTCTTGCCGAGCACCCGTTAGTATTGCCGAGCATCCACTAGCCGTGCCGACTACGAATAAGTGTTGTCCGTCCCCACACACTATGGCTAGAGCTAGAAGAAGAAAGGAGAACAGAGCACACACACAGTATAAGACACCAGCGTTGGCCGAAGCCCTATATAGGAGATGGCAAATCTGAACTCTCTTTACTGAGTTGCCGTGGTAGTCTATTTATACAACTCTATCCATCTAGTCCCAATACAGCTGGCCTGCTGCAACAGTGATTAGATAACATACAGGGCTGACTCTGCGCCGGCCACTGCATGTGCCTACAATGCTGCATGCAGGTGAGCCGTCGCGCCTGCACCTGCAGCGGCTACAGTATGTCACAGCAGATGGCCTTTCGAGCGCCGACTTCCCTTGCTGTGTTCATACAAGGTAGCAGTGGATTATGTAAGAGAGTTCTCAAAACGGAAGATATTTGTTTTGGGTATGGAAGTAGCGATTTCAACCTGGAAGGGAACTTCATTAGAAGTGGTGCAGGTTAGAGATGAAAGATTTGTGTCTGGCAAAGTGTCATTTCACGCCAGATTGATGAAGGCCCGATCCAATCTTTCAAGCGTCGGACCAAGTACTTCCAAAGTACTTCCACTTCTCTTCTTCCACTATGTTGCTCGTCTTGTGGTAAGCATATATAGTCTCCTCGCATGATATCTTAGCTGAACACACTAGATTTATCTGTTCCAGCATAGCATACCGGTTCCCTTCAATAGGGTGCTAACTGTGAAAAATTAAATAGAGTAAATGAACGAGGGAGACCAAGCTAAGCTGCAATTTTACATGTAACATATAGGGTTATTTAGATTCATGCCATTATAATTTTCGATGTTTGGAGAAACGCCATTACTATTCGCCTATTTTGAAGCATGCTATTACAATTCTTCGTTTCCCACAAATATGCCACATAATTCGTATGGACACGTCCTGGGCCCAGCTACAGGCATATACGAAGACGTATACTTCATCCCAGCCTCTCTCCCCTGTCACTAACACACGGCCCCACCTGTCATCTTCTTCTTTCTCCTCTCCTCATCTTCCCTTGCTGAGCGCGTCGATGGCGAGCAGCAGCAGGACACGGCCGAGCAGCAGCAGCACACGGCTAAGCTCATCCATTCCGAGATATCCGACGACACGTGGCTACAGCTCAAGCACCAAAGTCCTGTGCGGAACCGACCTACCTTGGCTATAAAAGCCGGCCATGGCCGCCGCGGCGGGACGTCCCGTCAAGCTCGGGCACGCGAAGTCGAAGGTGAGGTAGGAGCTCGCCTCTCCCTAGTTGCTCGCTTCGACGAGGCCGCCGCGCTCTGCGTCCTCGCGCCCGCCATCGCCGTGCATTGCTCTTCCCTCTGCTTCCTCCTCTGTGCTCCCCCTCCCTCTCTCTACCCTCTTCTTCTCCCTCCGCTACCTCTCGCTCTGCGTCTCTCCGAGCAGACGTAGGCCGCCGAGCCGCCGCACGACCGGCTCACGCCCGGTGCCTTGACGCCGCCGGCGCACTCCCACCGGTGCTTTGCTCCTCCGCTCTCTCCCCTTGCCCTACTCTGCGTCTCTCTTGCCCTCCCCGTTGCTCTCTCTCTTCCTCTCCCCGTCTCTTCTTTCCTCCCCCACTCTGCTACCATCGCCCCTCTGCTCCTCTCCGACGGACGCGGGTTGCAGCGCCGCCGTCGCACCGAGGTCGTCGCTGTCCGACCACCCACCATGCTCGCTGCTCTGCTCCCTTCTCCTCTCCTTTCCTCTCTCTGCCTCCCCTTTCCCTTTCTCTTTCTATCCGCAAGGAACGGATCGGGACGGACTGACACAACACCGATGGCATCCAAAGTTAGGCCGGCCACGTCGCGTGATCTAATGGGAGCACGCCACGTCGTCACTTTGGAAGGAGATGACATGTGGGGCCCGCGCATCATTGACACGGAAAAGGGACTGCAATGAGATATATGTATTCGTATATGCCTGCAGTTGGGCCCAAATCATCCCCATACGTATTTTGTGGCATTCTCGTGAGAAACGAAGAATTATAATATCATGTTTCAAAATAGGCGAATAGTAATGGCGTTTCTCAAACGTCAAAAATTATAATGGTATGAATCCAAATAACCCTAACATATAAACGTGAATGGATGCACATTATATAAATGTCACCCTTTTTTGAAAAAAAGAAGATTACACAACCAAATCTTTTTTAGGAATCAAGTGGGTCAAGGAGCCCCAACTGATTATAGTATATATTACACAACGAAATCTTATACAATTGTTCAAACTTTTTCAACTAACCTTTTGCATAAGTACAATAAGCTTTTCGAATTTTATAATAGTACTAATACAAAAACCTTTTGTGACAAACAGCCATACAAGTACTCCTTGCTTCCCAAGTAAGACCCTGTTGCCTGCTGTAATTCCATCCTCTAGACAACAAAGTCACTACCGTTTCCATACAAATCAAATGAAACAAGCATGTACCAACAGCCAGCCTGCATGGACCAAAGGAATTAAGATTATACCCTATAACTTTTTGCTAGAGAACAATGTATTGAAAGGCTTTATGTATGTACGATTATCACTACACCACAATACCAAGATTAGCGATGGACGGTCTGACGTTAAAGGCGGCTATAGAGACAGACAATCTGATGCTAAAAAGTTATAGCGACAAACTTCTACAGACGATGTAAGTCCTTTTGCTAAAAATCTTTAGCGACAGACAGTACTTTTAGCGACAGATAGTCCGTTGCCCTGAATTTTTTTAGCGACAGAAAGTTTGCTGCTACTCTTTAGCGACAGATAGCCTGCCAGTACTCTATAGCGACAGACAATTTGAAGTTACAAATGTTTTTAGCGACTGATGGTTTGACGAGATCATTTAAATGTATTTAAAAAAAATAAAAGGCATTTGGTTGCAAATTAATACAAAAGTAATATCATTGTGCACGTTTCTCATACAAATAGATTCATTCATGACCAAGTCCAAATACTCACTAAGACATACATATATGGTCAGCCATTACAAATATGAATCAATGATCCATCAATGATAAGTCTACAGTATCAGCTACCTGTATCCAAAAGAGATAGACTAGCACCTAAATTAGTTTTGAGTGGCAAATCATCCACCAACTTGCTAACTAGCACCGTAGTAGACCCTGAAACCAAAACCTAACATGCAATCAGTAACATGTTAACATAGATCTATGACCAGGTAAAGTTACTATGCTTCATTTTTTGTTAAATTAATTAGATCTTAAATAATGTGTATGTAGATTGGTACTTAGAGAAAAATTGAAGGCCTCATATTGGGACTTGGTTTTCTGTATCTTTCAAGCTTACTTATGTGCCGAGCAAGTCAAATCATGTAGTAAATAGATGCTCCCAAGAAACCTAACTAGTCAATAAACACTTGTGCTACTCAAGCTAATGTTGCGGTACAAACACATGCAAATTAGATCTCTGTCATATCTCTTGTTTTTACTTGTTTGCACCAGGGTTCAACGAGATAGTTTAGATGAATAAAAAATAAATAAAAATTTATCACAGCACCTATCTCAAGGTCAGGTCATTTTTTGCCTACAAACTGTACATAGGTCACCAGCTCCTATCTCAAGTTTCTTATCACAGCTCCTATCTCAAGTTTCCAGGAAACTTTTTTCTCACTGAAAATATGCAATTGCAACCCATGTAAAAGAAAACAAACTAGGATCTATTGCAACAGTGTGTATCACATAGTCTATATATCACAGAATAGTTTATATATCACAAAACTGCATAAGATTGTTGAATTGAATATTGAACTGCATAAATCAATCCTTTAGGTGCTAGCAATTGACAAAAATCTGATTACAGCGTTAGAGCAATGCAACTCACCACAGAGCCTAGCCACGTCCTAGTTCTCTTTGGCCTGAACATGAGGATAGGTCCTTATCCTGTAGTGGTGTGTACTGTGAGCTCCGTGGTTGCCTCTGCTAGCTTCCCTACATGTTGGACAACAACAACAACCTGAGCATAAATAGGTAAATTCATATAAGGTCATGCTGAAATAATAAGTATTTGTTCTTAACTTTGCATAAATAGATGATCTCTTGTGCAAGGACTTGTTAAGTATTGCTAGTGCTATTCTTAATTTGTATAACTTAACATGTTACACATTTCCTGTGAGGCTGCTGATTTGCACTTAAAAGTTAGCTAAATAAGCAGAGAAATGACCTCAGGCTGCTGATTTGCACAGAAAGCTACTAGCCAATTAAAGGTCATGTAATGGGTACTTGAACTATAAAATATTATAGCCAGAAAAAGGAGTTTACAAGACAGAGGAGGAAATCATTCGCTGCTACTCTGAAACGAACTTCAAATTGCAATCTCGAAGATTGCATTATAGTACAATCGAATAGCTATTGGCTGCTACTAGCCTACTACTTGTATTCACTCACTGCAAAATAGATGGAAACAGAGAGAATACAAGAGCAATGTACAAAAGTCGTCGATGAAGTCGACAAATGGAAAATAGAGCCTTCTTCAGTTAAAACAACTACTTAAAACAAAATTCTCTCGGTAGCTGCTTAAAACAGTAAAGGATAGTCCAATACGAAGCAAAATGATAGCTACAATTAAACTACGATAAAGCTAAGTAACAACGGCACAATTAAAAGACAGCTACAAATATTCTCAAATGTATAGGTTAGTTGTACCGAGCATATATGGAACCTGCACCACCCAAACTTCACAAACTTTAAATCGAGTAACTGAACGTCTGTATAGAATAGTAGACAACTCAACTTCAAACTCATCAAAAATATCACATACCTTAAATCGAGTGACTGAATGATGTACGGACGTAGCTGCAGTTCTGCTACTCCTATTCCTGCTGGCAGCAGCATACAAGCCCTAAGCCACGTGCATTGGGCTGCCAATCATGCATTGGGAACCTGCTAGTACCAAAAGAGATAAATAGATAATTATTTTCCAAGCTACAATAGGAGTCACTTGTTTATTGTGTCCTGCAACTAGTCAAACAACATGCTAGCCTACCAAATCTTATCTACCCAAATAAATATTCAATGTTGCTTTCAGCTAATATTTTACAACTTTCATGCATCGAACTTGGCACTTTAGCTTTCATGTACATATATGGAATGATCATTAATGCGCAGCTGTTAACTTTTTTTTGAGGGAACAGCAGGGGAGGCCCCTACCTAAATTTTTTCAACAAATTTTCGGCGGGAGAGGCGCGGGGGAAGGAGGAGCTGATCTTTTCAAGTTCGATATCAGCTTTGGGGGCGGGTCCTCTACCGTCGCGTACTCCAGGGGCCGGCGTGCTCCACGAACAAGTCCTCCAGGGGCGGTGTCTTCCACCGTGGCTTGCTCCAGGGGGCGGCGGGCAGGATTAGGGTGCGGGCGAGCGGGAGCTTTGGGGGTGGGGCAAGGCGAGCGAGCGGAAGGGTTTGGGGGCAGGGCGGGGCGGCGGGCAGAAGATTGCGAGCGTACGTAGATTGGGGGCGGGACGGGCTGGGATTTGGGAGCGAGCTAGAGGGCGACGGCGGGCAGGAGATTTGGGGCGGGCGGGCGGGATTTGGGAGGCAGAGGGCGCGGGCGCGATTTGAGGGCAACGACGCGCAGACAGGTGGAAGACGAGAACATTTGGCGGCGCCTCTTTCTCTAGATTTGGGATTTGGAAGAGAAGGGTCTAGGGTTTCTGTACTCATGGGCTAGGCCAAAATTTGCGCGCGAGGGCCGAATGTAAGTGGGCGCGCGAGCTCAATGTAAGTGGGCATGTGAGCAAGGTGGGGCCCTTTTTTTAGCGACAGACGGATTGATGCTATACCCGTTTTCAGCGACAGATAGTTCGACGTTAAAGATGATTACCTATAGCGACAGACAGTTAATCTCTAAATGGAGAATTAGCGTCAGATTATCTGTAAGTTATCTTTAGCATCAGATCATCCTTCGATAAAAAAAAGTTTTAGCGTCAGATGTCTGACGGGGATATGGTGTTGTGGTGTAGTGTATATTCCTACAACAATAATCATCCGATTTGCAAAATCACAAGTCACTCAATTTTCAAGCAAAATATGCGCACGTTTGGCCGTGGGGGTTTGAACCTGCGACCTCAGGTCTCACGCGTAACTGCCCTAATCACTCCGCTCCAAAGTCACTTGTGACTAAGGGGCACAAATATTCTCCTCGTATTCACTTTACCCGATATGATTATTTGAGACCTAAATGATTTAAATAAAAAGGCATCAACTGCAAAGCTGTAGATATCATTGAGTACTAAAATTTTGTTTAGGTCATTTCTCCATCCGAGGTTAAAGTTGCAAGCATTATCCCTTCGAAGAATAGAGCGAAAATCAAGAAATGTAAGAAGATCCACACAGCCAGTTGCTCATGGAGGTTCATTATTCTATGATTGAAGGCCTTTCATTGTTCAAAATGAAATATAATCGTGTAAGCAAGCAATGCAAATAGATTCACGGGGTGTGTCAGTGACCAGTGAAGGTGTTGTTTTGCATGTGCGACAGCTTCTTCTATGCATTCATAATGTAGAGAAAAACATGTCATACCGTTTGATATAGCGTCTTTTTGAACCAGCTTCATTGTCCAATGGCTGCAGGAGAAGAAGCAAGTTCAGCCGTGAGGATGAAAGTTGACGTGCTAGCTTTCCTCACATAACGAATATCACCATTCATAAGCTTCAGAAAGTATCTTGAAATTACAAGGCTCAAAGCCTCCCCTGACATATCTTTGATGCCATCCTTGCAAGTTCCTAACAAGATTTCCCCAGGGACACCTAATCCCTTGTGTTTGATCCTGCAAAACCGTAAACACAAAAACCTAATATGATTAAGTATTTGGACTCTTACTCTCTTATACAGAAACAAATGTAACAAGAAGGCATAATTTGTGGATAAGTTCACCTAAGTTCTAGATCAAAGCTTTTGCCTATGCTATTCTTGGTCAGGTTGCAGGAAATCTCAACACAACCCCCAACTGTAGAGAACTTCACTGAAACAAATAGAATGTCGGAGAGAATCTGTTGGAGTCGAATTCCATCACCATAAACTTTTTCCTTCGTAAATCCCTCTGACTGGTTTAAAAGGACTCCAATGTCTTTGTCCCTACAAGCTGTCACTACTTGACTTATAGCACCCTGTACCACATCTTGCAACACAAATTCAACCATCTCCAGCTCGAAGCAAAACAACCTGTCGAAAATAAATACAAGAGTGAGTAGTACAGTACCATCAGTTTACTACGTCTGAGGGCTGATCAAGAAACAACAAATGAGGCTACAAATAAATACAATAACCTATATAATAGAAATAGAAAAATAAGAAGAGTTGGAAAGAAGTATATATACATACTCATCAGTTATGTTATCATGATCAATGTCGGCAAGTATCTTGTCGAGCTGGTGGTGACAATGGTCTGCAACATTGGGGTGTCTCATCTGCTCTTCATTCAAACCCGTGCTCTTCAGTGCTTCTCTCGAGTAAAGCAAACCTGAGAGAGGATTGTTGATAGCATATCTCGTGTAGGAGAAAGCCTTCATCTTTCTTAAGGTCGTCTGCTCTGAGGCTTGCTTCACATGTAGTGCATGCTGCAGCTCCTGGCTGTGAACTTGTATGTAGCAGAATACTCCATCAATGACGGCATTTGTGTTTTCTTTTCCATAAGCCGACAGAATACATTCAATGTCCATTCCATTTCGGTTGTAGAAGCCAAATGTAGCCTTGTCTGTTTGTTTGCCAGACAGCGCACTGCTGATAATGACGCGAAGGCGTACAAATGATTCATGATTCTTCAAAAGACAAGAGCCATTGCTACTGTCAAAGACTTCACCAACAATCATCTTATCCATCACCTCATCTCTATGGAACCCAGTGAGCTTAGTCATGGCGGCATTCCACTCGGAGCACCACCCAAACTGGTCAGCACCAAATATAGGAGGAATGAGTGGGTTTGGGTTGTGAATTATTGCCTTGTTGTCTCCATCAACCCGAGTAAATTTGTCCATGGCCAGCTTATGAACAGTCATATCTTGGGCCACAAAGCACACCCCAATTACATGGCCATAACTATCATTGGTGGAACAAGCATTTGCAACCAAGATAACTGGCCCATCATCTGCCCTCGAACTATGAGTTTTCATTTCAAATCGAACCTCCTTCTCTTCTTTGCCTGTTATATCAGTGAAATGTTATATAAAGGAAAATTTCAAAACCACTAATTATCAAGTATATTTTTTCAGTGGGATCAAATAATTAAGGCATGCCTAATAAAGAATTGAAGATCAAATGTAGCAGTTAAAACAGCTGAATAAGCATAAAACTAAAAACAGCTGAATAGTAAAATACTAAAATGGCTAGAAAAAATAATAATCTACATACCATCCAGAGCCAAGTATAGCATTTTCTGTACAACTGGTAAAGATGATTGCTCTACCAGGGTAAGTATGTGCCTTCCTACAGTCTCCTCCACTATCAATCCTGTCAGCTCCACTAACTTAAGGTTCCATCCACTGACCAATCCATTTGCATCGACTACAAATATTGGAGCAGTTGTTGTTTCCATCAGACGAGACATTTCTTTTGTCACTGTCTGCAATTCAGCTAGCCCATCTTTTTTTAGATAACGGAACAAAGTTCCAGCCTCCTAGCTAAGCAAACAAGAATCCTTGGCTGACTTGATAGCATTGTTCTGGTTCCTTTCATTGAGTAATCCGTTAACATCTAGAGCCAAGATTAGAGGACTTGTTGCTTCCACCATATGAACCATTTCACTTGTAACCATGTGCAATTTATCAAGACAATCAAGTTTGATGTCATCAATCTGCAGGTTATCTAAACCAGCTGCCCCGGTTGGTTTTGCGTCACCATTCATCCTATCTCTAAGTATGAGCGGCAATGAGCAGATGGCATCCATCTCATAGTCATTCCACGGCATACTTTTCATCTTAACAACCTCGAGGAATGCCATGAACGTCAACCTAGGGTGCATTCTTCTGCTATCATCCTGGTCAGATGGATTATGCTTTGCACTACCCCATTTGATATCAGCAGCTGTATGTGACCTGAACCAGAAAACAATATCATTTGGGCCAATCTTAGCCATTGCCATCCCACAAATCTTGTCACCAAGGGAAGCTGCTCCTCGATATCCAGCATCAACAAGGCTATCAGTACTCAAACCGGTGGAATCCATATGAACCTCTGACAGCCACGAGGATATATCACGTATCTGAGGCTCCGTTGGAGTTATGCATAGCCGCCATACTCTGTCACCATGCAAAAGAGCAGCACCATGACATTTAACAAGGTCCATGATATTTGGACTCCCAGATATGATGCTCAGCGGAGATGCTTCATGGAACAACATTGTTGAATAATCTACTGCTTCCTTGTGTGAACACACGGCAGTGGAAGGCGGCGCCAAAAAGGCACCCTGTTGTGGTACTGTAGCCACAGCAGGGGCAGGCGCCGAATGGCTCACTTGCCGCACTGTAGCCACAGCAGGAGCAGGCGTCAGAGTCAGCCCTGCTGTCACATCTAGTCACTGTAGCAGCATGGCAGCTGTACTAGGACTAGATGGATAGAGTTGTATATATAGTTTGCCACTGCAATTTAGTAAAGATAGTGAGTTCAGTTTTGCCATCTCCTCTGCAGAGCTCCGACTAACGCTGGTGGTTGTGCTGTGTGTGTGCTCTGTTCTCCCTCTCTTCTTCTACCCCTAGCCATAGTGTGTGGTCGGACAATGATAGTCGTGGTTGGCAATAGTGGTGAGTGGTCGACTCACTCGTGCCGAAGATCCTGTGGCCCAACAAGTGGTATCGGAGCCGTACAAGCGTCGTCGCGGGACTAACCGTTGGCGATGATGGATAGTTTGGAGATGGGCGACAGCAGCGGAGCTACTGTGGCTGCCCAGCCACGATAGGAGGTCGTTGTGCGCACGGTGCAGGAGGTCAGCAGCACCAGTTGGCTGACGCTGACTCGCACCAACTATGGAGAGTGGTCGGTGACCATGAAGGTCAAGCTCAGAGCCCGACGGCTCTGGAATGCTATTGATAAGGGCACCGACAACGAAGAAGACGACATGTCATCATTGGAGGCTATCCTCGCTGCTGTACCAGTAGAGTACAGGGAGCCGTTGGGGGCGAAGAGCTCTGCTAAGGAGGCATGTGAGGCTATTGTGGCGATGCGCGTCGGTTCTGACCGCGCAAAGAAAGCGATGGCCTAGCTTCTGAAGCAGGAGTACGCCAACCTCAAGTCCAAGGATGGTGAATCGGTGGAGCACTTCTCCCTCTACCTACAGACGTTCATCAGCGTCACCATCGACGAAGAGGAGGCGGTCTCCAAGTACCTCCACTCAGTGCCGACAAAGTACATCCAGATCGCTCTCTCCATAGAGACGATGCTGGACTTGTCCACCCTCACCATTGAGAATGTAACAGGCCGTCTGCGGGTGGTGGACGAGCGCCTGGAGCAGACGATAACAACGAAGAACAACGGCAAGCTGCTGCTGACAGGGGAGGAGTGGGCTGCTCAGAGAAACTCAGAGGTAGCATCCTCCAGCCACGGTGGTGATGGCAAGCGCCGTGGCAAGGCTTCTTCAGAGAAGAAGAAGCAGGTCGACCCTAGCGCCTGTCAGCGCTGTGGGAAGACGGGCCATTGGGCAAGGGAGTGCCCAAATCGCAAGTGGGAGAAGAAGGTTGAGGCTCATCTGGCGCAAATTGATGATGATGATGAGGCCACTATCCTTATGGTGATGTTTTGTGCACTGCACGACGTCAAGGCCGAGAAGAAGGGAGAGGTGATAGCGGTGGAAGGGTCTGAGAAGGCCCTGAAGGCTGTCAACCTCGACGAACCGCGCACCCAAGTCCACCTCGGACGTGTGGGCGGCGAGCAGGAGCAGCGGTGGTATTTGGACTCTGGTACCAGCAACCACATGATGGGCTCCAAGGCAGCCTTCTCTGAGCTTGACGACGATGTGACCGGCACGGTGAAGTTTGATGATGGCTCAAGGATGGCAATCCAAGGGCACGACACCATCATCATCAGGTGCCAGAACAGCAAGCACCGTGCGCTAACAGATGTATATTACATCCCGTAGCTGCGTTCAAGCATCATCAACATTAGTCAGCTGGATGAGCGTGGTAGCGAGGTACTGATCAAGGATGGAGTCCTTAGGATCAGAGAACGGAAACAACGACTTCTTTCCAAGGTGAAGAGGTCCCAGAACTGGTTGTACCTGCTCGACTTGAAGGTGGAGGCACACTAAGGAGCCATGGCTATGGCATGCCTGGTTTGGCCACCTCAGCTTCGACGCGCTTGGTCAGCTAGAGAAGATGGTCCAAGGGCTACCTCACATCGAGCACGGAGGCGAAGCGGAGCAAACCTTATTTCAAAGTGGCTGCAACAGATTTCCCAAAATTTCCTAGGTATAAAAAATAGATTTTAGCTTTACTGATCTATAGAAAAATTGTCGGCCGAAGCGAGAGAAGGCTGCCGTTCCCAAAGGCAGCTAAGTATCGCGCGATGGACGCTCTCGAGCTCGTCCACGGCGATCTCTGCAGGCCAATCACGCCAGCCACAAACGGTGGTCGATGGTACTTCCTCCTGCTCGTGAATGATTGTAGTTGCTATATGTGGCTGCAACTCCTGACGAGCAAGGATGAAGCGGCGGCGGCGATCAAGAAGTTCAAGATGCGCGCGGAGGCCGAGAGCGGCAAGAAGCTGCGCATGCTGAGGACTGGTCGTGGCGACAAATTCACTTCGGTGGAGTTCGTTGCGTACTGCGTGGATCAGGGTGTGGTGTGACACCACACCGTGCCATACTCGCCACAACAGAATGGCGTGGTGGAGTGGTGGAACCAGATGGTGGTTGGCATGGCTCGATCCATGATGAAGGCAAAGAGCATGCCGGCAAGGTTCTGGGGTGAGGCGGTGACCACGGCAGTGTTCATACTCAACTATGCACCCACCAAGGCCCTAAAGGGCAAGACGCCGTTAGAAGCTTGGTATGGGCACAAGCCGAGCGTGTCCTTCCTCCGGACATTTGGTTGCATTGGCCATGTTAGGAAGACAAAGCTGGTCCTCACCAAGCTGGAGGACAGGAGCACACCGATGGTGTTCTAGGGCTACGCGGAAGGTACCAAGGAGTATCGGCTCTATGACCCACGCAGTGACAAGGTGCTTGTCTCGCGCGAGGTCATGTTCGACGAGAAGGCAGCCTGGGACTAGAACAGTCCGAGCACGAGAGAAGCTGGCGGCTTCACCAGCACCTTCATCGTCGAGCACTTGGTCATCCACGGTGGTGGAGACATTGGGGAAGAGGTGCCGAGTACTCTAGGAGGGGTGCCAAGCACTCTAGCAATAGAGCCGAGCACTCCTGGGGAGGTGCTGAGCACTTCAGAGTGGAGCCAGCAGGTCCTACAGTGGTGGTGAACACTCCAGGACAAGTGCCGAACACTCCCATAGCGGAGCCTAGAGGTCTTGCAGTGGTGCCGACCACTACAAGACTGGTGCCGAGCACTCCAGGAGGGGTGTCGACCACTCCAGGAGTGGTGATGAGCGGTCTAGGAGTAGTGTCGAGCACTATAGCTAGGGTGCTGAGCACTCCAGGTGCTGTGCAGACCACTCTGGCGGAACAGAGAACTCCATCGATGCCGATCGAGTTCACCTCACCTCCAAGTGACATCATTGAGTTCGTGGATGCCTTTCATGAAGGTAGACGACATCATCGACGGCATAGGGCCCTCAGGCTTGGTGGGTAGGCTTCTCAATGACACAGAGCTGCTTCTCGTTAGTGCAGAGGAACCACCCATGTTCACGCAAGCCTAGTGCGATGGAAATTGGCGACGGGCGATGCCGGAGGAGATGAAGGCGATTGAGGAAAATGAGACCTTGGAGCTCGTCGATACACCTCCAGGATGCCGTCCGATTGGCCTAAAGTGGGTGTACAAGGTCAAGCGGGACGAGCACGGTGCCATTGTCAAGCACAAGGCATGCCTCGTCGCTCGATGCTTTGTCCAGCGTGAGGGCATCGACTTCGAGGAAGTCTTTATGCCGATAGCGTGCATGGAGTCTGTTCGACTGCTACTAGCTTTGGCAGCAACAAAAGACTGGTGCGTCCATCAACTAGACGTAAAATCGGCCTTCCTCAACGACGAGCGTGGAGCACAGGGTGCTCCAACCACGCAAGGCGCTCTATGGGCTATGGCAGGACCCATGAGCATGGAATGCCAAGCTTGACGCCACGCTGGGCGAGCTTGGGTTCACATGGTGCGCAATCGAGCACGCGCTCTACACACGGCGATAGGGCAAGGTGGAGCTCATCATTGGCGTGTATGTGGATGACTTGATCATCACCGGCACGCATGCGGAGGACATCGACAACTTAAAGCGTGAGATGGCGGCTTGTTTTCGAATGAGCGATCTCGGCGCGCTCTCCTACTACCTCGGCATCGAGGTGAGATAGGGGAAGGAGGCACTCACGCTCAGTCAAAGCGCGTATGCCTCAAAGCTATTGGAGTGGAGCGGTATGGCTGAATGCAAGCCATGCGTGACTCCGATGGAGGAGCGACTGAAGCTAATGAAGGCCAGTACCGCGGTGAAGGTAGATGCAACACTCTACGAGATCATCATCGGTCTGTGCTACCTAGTTAACATGAGGCTAGACATTGTGTTTGCCATGGGCTACGTCAGTTGTTTTATGGAGGATCACTGGCTGCGGTGAAGTGGCTACTACGCTACGTCAAAGAGATGGTGGATGAAGGGATCGTCTTCCCCAAGATCGGTGGAAGTAGGCTATAGCTCACTATGTTCAACGATGCAGACATGGCGGGGGACATCGACGGACGGTGGAGCACTTCTAGCGTGCTCGTCTTCCTCGGGTCGGCTCTAATTTCATGACTGTCATTGAAACAGAAGGTGGTGGCTCTGTCTACATGCGAGGCAGAGTACGTGGCGGCAGCCACAGCGGCGTGCCAAGCTGTGTGGTTGCGCCGGCTGCTGGGCGAGCTGACCAGTGTGGAAGCTCACCCACCAGCACTAATGGTGGACAATTGGCCCACCATCGCCCTCGTGAACAATCCGGTTCTCCACAACCGGAGCAAGCACATCGACGTCAAGTTCCCCTTCCTCAGGGACTACGTCGATGGAGGGCAGATCATCATCGGGTTCGTCGAAACTGGTCGTCAACTCGCGGACGTCCTCACCAAGCCGCTCGGCCGTCTTCGGTTCATGGAGCTGAAGGAGATGATCGGCATGGAAGGGGGTTCAAGGGTTAGCGATAGGATTTGGGGAAGAATTGTTGAATAATCTACTGCTTCCTTGTCTGAACACACGGTAGGGGAAGATGGCGCCGAAAAGGTACCCTAC